GAAGAAGCTTCTCGGATGAGAGGTGAAACGTCTTCAAGCAACTTAAAGAAGTCCAGACGCTTTTCTTTGCAAGCTCCTTTGACCCCAAGGCAATATACAGGGATATTATTAGAGGATGATTTCTTTTAGACAAACAGATATTTGTGTGGTTGTTTGATCAAATGTTTTCCCTCCATGTTTCTCACTGGACCTGAAACCAACCTGCTCAGATTGCCTGTTTGATCTGTTAAAATCACAGAATCCCAGGGTTCCTCCTGGTCCATCATAGACTATTTTCAGGCACATGCTGACCTAAAAACACACAACACACAAATGTTGGGAAGAAATATGGATAAGCTTATAAAGCTTTCACTGCATTTAACACACAATGTGCCTGTCAAGATGATAGTATAAGCCACACTAATGTGCACAGTATGTATGATTTATTTTACAGTGGAACAGACAGGAGCAAGTTACCTTGGCCACAGAGTGGAAGTTGAAGTAATAGGTACCCTGTACTCTGCAGGTGAAGACACCAGTGCGTGTGTCAAGATCACCATTTGTGTTGACCACAACTTTTTGGTAGGTTATTTTCTGATACACAAACACACACACAAAGAGGAAAACAATAACCTTGTAACTAAAAACTGTAAGAGAAATACGAGAGACTGTTGTTTATGAAGCAGTATTAGGGCCGCATTAAAAAAATAAAAAAATATTAATTATTTGATTTCAAAGTCAAAATTTTGAGATTGAGGTCAAAAAGTGGCAGTTGTTTGGCTTCAAACAAAAAAATGTAATCTTCACATTTGGACTTTTTTCTTAAAAGAGTACTTTGTGTCAGGACTCTGTATTATACACACAAACTGTGACTTGATAAAACTGAAAATATCTGCATGGGTAAATATTGCTGAAGGGAGGTGACAAACTCATGTGTGTGACATTAAGAGGGACTCATGTCCAGATATTGCATCTGTGACTAAGAATATGAGAAATGAAACATCTGAGGGAGTGAAAGGTGTGATGGGCATCAGACTGAACCTGGCTGAAGGCAGGATAATTGCGGTCGGTTCTGATCACTGAGAAGGCCGAACGGGACTCCTGCTGAGAGGTGTGTCTTGCTAAGAGAACACACACACACACACACACACACACACAAGTATGAATGATGCGTTTAATGTGTAATTTACAAGGTAGAAATCATGGCTATGTTATGAGACTGGACACTCAATGCTGGTGGTCACTCGATATTCTGATGTTACACTATGTGTGCTTATGAGTAACATGTGAATGTCACAAATTATGCACAAGATGCTGGATAACTGTTTAACTACATATGCTAGCTTAAACTTACCAGTAAAGAAAAGAAACTCTCATTTCCACGTTGCCCTGCTTTATTATCCATTGTGTAACTTATTGTGTACTCAATATAAGTTCAGCATTATGTTTGCTGTGTTTTAAAAGATATACTCAGTATATTAGCATATGGCAAGGTCAGAAATGATCTCTTCGTTACCTTGGGACAACCTGCCGTCTGGGCCAGGAGGACCTGGGGGGCCATCCTCACCCTCTTTCCCCAAATCTCCACGGAAACCTTTTGGGCCCTGGGGTCCTTGCGTGCCTCGATTTCCCAACTCCCCTTTCTGCCTCAGTAGGCTGGCTGTATCCACTGGACCTTGAATCATCACAGCTACAAATAGAAAATGAATTATTCCACACCAGTCTTTGAGTTTTATACCAGTTGAGGGGTGACAAAAGCACCTGTGAAGACTTTGTTTCTTATTTATACATCCAGCCATTACAGAGTAACATTATCACTCATTATCAGTGGAGCACGTCTGACTCTTTAGTGTAGTGGTTCTGTAACACACGGAACATCAAACTGTAAACTAAAATTTCAAAGCACACCAGTAAATAGAAAAACACTGCAAAAGCACACAAAACAGAATGGCATTGAATAAAAATACAACAGTAGAGAGACAATAAAGTAAAGGAAGAGCTGCAAAAGTGACAGAAACTGAAACGTGTGAAGAATTGCACTGAGGTGAGCTGAAAAGAAGCGGAGGACTAACAGTGAGAGAAAGAAAGTAGAATGTGTTCTAAAAGAATAACATAATAATGCAGATAAATGATTGTTATAAGTAGCTATTTCACCGTGTTGTGTTTTTGTCTAATTCTGTTGTTTTTATTCAACTTATGCTGTTTTTATTCAGCTTCTGTTGTTTATTTTTTTCAACTTCTGTATTGACAGTTAAGATAAAATAAGTACATAAACCAAGTGCGGTAAGCAGGTTAATGTTTGTGCATTTAGCAGCGTGTTACCTGGCTCTCCTTTCTCTCCCTTCATTCCAAGCAACCCATTCCTGCCCGGCGCGCCGTTCACTCCTCGTTCACCATTTGCTCCTTTGCAGTTCACTTGACATTGGACAGCCTCCAGAAGTATGGCCACGCCCACCAAGACCGCTAGCCCATAATTACCACCCATGTTCCAAAACACTGGATTTAACATTTGATTGCAAAGATGAATCTGGTCAAAGTCAAGAGTTACAAATAAGAAACTATGTAAGAAACAAAGTAAAGACATAAACATTCTGTCTTTTTCTACATTTATTCTGCTACCTCAAGACACTTTATGTTTTGGACTTAAATTAGAAATGTTCACTTTTATTTCTGCAAATCCTGTAGAAACTTTATACAACAGCTATTTCCAAGCATATATTCATAAATTTCAATTGAAACAATTCAATAAACTGAATAGAGGATAAAATGACACATCACATTGTTGTTGTATTGTTTAAGACTAAACCGTTAATAATAATAACCATTCATAATGCATCAAGTGTCAATCCTTCGGTACATTTAATTTACTAGAAATAACAAAATTAGTGGCTGATGTAAGTTTTTAGTTTAAGGGAAATCTGTTTTACAAACAGCTTAAATTGATTTTTGATTTTGTTCTTGTTCGCATTAATTGTAGCTAATTTATCTTTGATTAACAATCTCAAGGACTTGAAAGTTGGTTCAGAGATGATCCCACTGTGAACTTTATCTTTAAGTTATTTAACATTTCTATTATATACACTGCCCTGCTGTTGACAAACAAATATTTAACAATATTCCATGTTTTCTGTGTGTTGAGGTGTTATTTTACTCACCTGTCGGGTTTTCTGATTGTTGGATCTCCAATGAAAGGACGGGATTTCCTTCTGTTGGTGAACAGACTTCTTATTAAACTGAAAAAATGAGTCAGTGGTTCATTCTGACACTTTCTGACATGCACACACACACACACACACACACACACACACACACACACACACACACACACTGTGCAAAATAAGTAAGGAAGTAAAACTCATGATCCGACAAGAACAGTGATTAAATAAAGGTTATAGTTTCAGTTCAGCATCACAAAGATCTTTTTGACTTGTCTGCACTGTGAGATGTACAAGTCTGTTTCAGTTAAATATAAACGGTGTCATTATGTGTTCATGATATGTGGTTTATTGATCACAGTTTCAAAGATAGATAGATAGATAGATAGATAGATAGATAGATAGATAGATAGATAGATAGATAGATAGATAGATAGATAGATAGATAGATAGATAGATAGA